CGCAGTCCGAGCACCCACACCTCCAGGGCCGAGGTGTGCTGTCCCCGGGAAGCAGGGACGGAGCAGGGGACTGAGCGTGAGGTGTCAGACTGCCCGCGACTCCCGCTGCCCGGACCTCGGAGGGCCTGGGGGCAGAAGAGGCGTCAGAGGCCTCGCCCTTTAGCTTGGCGGCGGCCGCCGGGAAATGGAGGCCTGGAGGTCGTTTGGCTCCACGAGGAGCCTTTACGAAGGCTCTGCAGGGCTCAGTCTGTTTCCCACGGAGAAGAGCAGGCCCTTTGGCTAAACGTTGCATACACGTGCTTATAAACTATTTACAGCTATTTTGTTTTCTTTTTCCGAGAAAATCTGAACGTTTCACCAGAGAACAGCAATTCCGTTTAAGAAATCAATCGGCTGACAAACAGCACAAATCGGTACATTGCTTTCCTATACGGAATAAAGGCATGCACCAGCGTTGAGAGCATAAATTGGCTGGCATGACAGTTTCGCTCTGCCCCTCGCCGGCTTGGCTCGGTGGTTGGAGCACCGGCATGCGGACTGGAGGGTCTCCAGGTTCCGTTCCCGTCGAAGGCACTGCCTCAGTCGATTCCTGGCCCGTGGGCCCCCATCTAGGCACGAGGCGTGCTGGAGAAGCAGGCATGCTGGAGAAGCCATGTGTCTCTCACGTAGATGCTTCTCTCTCTCTCCCCTCCCCCCATCCCTCTCCCCCTCTCCCCACCTTCCACTCTCTCAAAAGCAATGGAAAAAATATCCTCGGGTGAGGATTTTAGAAAGTTCTGTTTCGCTGTTTTTAGGAACTCGGGTGTAAACGTTGACTACTGCCTGAATGGTGGTTCAGAGTGGATTAGAGTAACGAATAGCTCAGACCTGCGACATTCACAAAAGAGGAGGTAAGGTTTTCAAATGTAAGTTTTACTCAACTTTTGGGGACAGCAACCAAACCAGGTTCAGATTTGTATATTTTTCTTTTACAAACATGCAGGCAGTAACACTTTTGGTTAGTGTAACTTACACATGGAAGTTCTTTTTAAAATGCAATGTTTTTTTCATAATTTTCCCGTATTTTTTTCTTAATGCACGTTGGCTATACTTTTCATTCATAGCACCTTTTCTCGCAAGAACTTCATACAAACAAAAAAGGAAACTGGAGAATGGAGAAACTGAGGATCAAGGGAGCCACTGGCTGGTACTGGAAATACATCCAGGCTTACTGCAATCCAGTACTTTATCCTTGAATCACTAAATACCTTTGAACACACTGGAAATGTGATATGTTAATAAACCAAAGATTCAAAATGCAGTCCCCAAACTGAGTTCTCCAAAACCCCATAAAGGAGGCCTGGAGATATTTTCAATATATCATAGAATGTAAAGGTATACTATTAAAAACATACCTATGATTAAGTTGCACAAACTAGATCCAGTGCCCTTTTTTGTCTCACATAAAGTCGGTATAGAAAGCCTAGCTGTGCTGATCAGAAGTTCTGATGGTCTTATCTGTGATAAAAGAAAGAAAATGTGGTTGCCAGACCACCTTTTTATAGTGAAAGTCAGGGTAGGGCAGAGGGGGCTGATGGTGAAAAGTGTAAAAACTATTCATTTGAAAAATTTAAATGTTTCAAGCAGTCTTTAAATGCACAGCATATATTTGGACTATATTTTTTAAACTGCACTCCTATTTGCATGTCTTCTCTAATTTCTAAACATAATGCAGATTAAATAATCATCTAACTATGTAATTTTAGCTCTTTAGTGATGTTTCTAGGTAGGGGTAATAAAAAGGATTCTAAGTCTCACACCTCACATCTATTCTTATTGAAGCATTCTTGCTCCAAGGGAATTCTTTTATTGCACAGTGAAATAACCCCAAAATTATCAAATGGAGAAAAGATCTCTTGCCCTCAGCTTCTCAATAGGCCCAAGCATGCACAATGCCTTGTGATGTTTCTTGTGTACATATTTTGCCCCCACCACTATGAAGCCATTGCTTATGCCATGAAGCCCTCTCAGCCCAACCAACCATTTTGCCAGCCAGGGTCGATTCATTTGAGATGCCCCAGAATCTTGAGCACACCTCCACTGACTAGTTACTACATTGCTCAGTGCTCAAAGGATACTCCCTACAACCCAAAGCTGTGTCTTCACTTAAGCAGAAATTAATGTCTTTATTCAACTCTGTATGTCCAGCTTAGGCCGGTATCTGGCACTTACAGGCACTCACATGTTTGTTGGATGTGTGTTTGTCAATCTAGCCAGCAAAATGTCCAAATGTTTTTTCCCCCAAGTAACATACACTGCTGTCAATTTTAAAAGACCCCTCTGATTCTGTACTGCCTATTATCACAAAGTTCTGAGAAATGATTTCACAAAAATGACAGAATTTTAGAATTTAGGTTTGTCTGCTGAAATTATTCTTTAAAAATCTAATACAAATGTCAAGATACAGTACATTGAATATACTAGTAAAATAGCTTATGATTTTATATGAAAAAATAAATATATCATTAAAAATGTAGTTTCCTAAATGTTACCCAGCCTGTTAAATGCTCGATTTTACATACACAGAGAAATACAGCCAAAACAAACCAGTAATAAATCATCTCAAAATGAAAGAGTGAATTTGCTTTTGTTTAACTCAGCAATTTTCAACCAGTGTGCAGTGGCACACTGG